AATTGCATGCAAAATTTTACATCAAGTGAACGGTCAAATTAGATGTTACAGCTTGTTAAAGCTCATTGATTAGGATTTAGGCTTATAAGAAAAATCTAAATTGCTTAAATATAAAAGTTATAAGGTAATTGGGATTCATGTATGATTAAAGCTACTAGGAAGAGTGTTTTTTAGCACTTTTGAATTGAAATTCAAATTATATTCTTCTTGTATGTATGAAACCTATTAGAATTTCTTTGATACTTGTGAAATATAACCTCGCCTTCCGTAGCTAGGTGCCCGGTGCATTCTTGAACAAGACAACACATAATACAACAATGTTTATATTGTCGTCATTGAAATAAATGGTTATCATACTTCACAACTTGAGTAATGGCTTCATTGAATGTTTGAAGATCTAGCATAGACAATAATAAGTCCTTGATATTGTTTCTTAATCCTTAATGAATTTGGCTCATCTATGAATCTTCTCCCTTATTTATATCAAATGTTAATTATCAAAAATCTAAGGTATATATTGATGCAAAATGCATTTCTTGTCAAAGGCTTTGAATTTTAGTTGTTGAAGAATAAACCTTATCATGTTTACCAAATATTTTTGCAAATGCTGCCAAAAATGCTTCAAAATTGTACAACATAAGGAAATTCTTTTCAAATAATCGAGCAAACCAAGATAAAGCTTAACCTAAGAATAAGGATCCAACCAAACCAACACAAGATGCTTCAATTGAATATCTTTGAGGATAAAGCAAGGTGATTAGTCATACTTGGTTTATAAAGCCACAAAATTTTGAGCGGATCCAAATAGAGGATCTAAGATCTCCTATGACCTTCTTGAATTTTCTTAGAATCTATTAGAATCTTCTAGGATCTTTAAGAACCTTCTTAAAACCTTCTAGAACCTCTTAGAATCTTTTCGAACCTTCTTCAGTTGTATGTCCGTTAGATTTATATCACTATCATGTATTTATAATTAAGTTAAGAAATTTTATTTCTATATATATATATATATATATATATATATATATATAATACTTATATTGATTTGAATAAAAAATTAGTTCAAATTAGGAACTATAAAAATCTTGCACGAAAAAAAAAAAATTACAAAACAAATTAGAATATCATTAGTTGGGTGACAAATATAATTGAATGTTATTTTGACTTATCTATGAATATAAAAATAACATCTTTTAGTTATGATAATTTGATATTATGTTTATTTAATAATAAATATTATAAAAATAATTTATTTCAAAATGATCAACACAACATTAAAAATGTGTTTATAATTTTCAGATAGCATTAAAAGAATTCCAAGATCTCTTGTTCTTTTATTTTGAATATGTAGCATCTTTATCCATGTGGCATATCTTAAAGATTAAATAATATTTGATAAAGATTTTACAAGTCTCATGATGAACATTAGTATCATGTTTTTATACTTTTAAGTTAATTTGATGAATATTACATAAATTTTTTATTTTTAAAACAATTTTTACTTAAATTTATCAATTTTATTAAAAATTAATATTTAAATTTTAATTGTATAAAATTTATTTAAAGATATTATAATTTTTTTAGAAATTATAGTTTTTTAAGAAATATAATTTTATTATTATTTAAAATTTTATATTTTTATATATTAATAGAATATATAAAGTCAAAAACTCATATTAATTAATAATATAAATATTTTAAGAATCGTATATATTATTAATATAAAAAATTTAGAATACTTAAGTTATATTTCATATTTTTATTGTTTTAATAATTTAAAAAAAATTGTAGAAATAAACTAATCATAAAATTAGTTTAAATAATATTCTTTTTTCAGTTTTGAAATACTTAAATTTAGATAATATTTGAATTTTTATTTTTTAGGTTTTTGTAATATAGTATATTTTTGTTTGGTTTTCTTATGTGATATAATTACAAAATATTTATTACAAGGTTTTATTGTTGCATCAACAAAATGAGATTTTTTATGATACAATATTTTTTTAATAATAAATACTATAAACAAAAGGACATAATTAAGTATAAGCTTTCATCTATTTCTTTATCCATCATGTATTTTTAAGTAATCAAATTTGATTAAATGTTTTATAATATTATAAAACAACATCATCTTGTTTTGTATTTTGATTTTTTTTCCACATCCATAATATTTTAAAATATGTAAGATACACATCTAATTAATTTTATTATTTTCACATATTAAAAAAATTAATTTCTATATCATTAGATTAAATTAAATAATACTACTGCAAATAAGTTCTTTTTACTTAGAAGTGGTTTTATGTTTCTTCTTTAAAGTCAAAAACATCTCATTGTATTTAGATAAGCCATATGTATATATATATATATATATTGCTAATGCCACCATAGTTTTTACTACTTGTACTACAATTTGCTATCCACTCAATAAATTGTTTTACTTATTTATTTGTTCTTAAAAAATAATGGTCAATATTTTTAATATATTTTCTTTTATTCAAATATATAAAAGGTATATAAAATTATAATAAAGAATAAATAAAACATTAATTGAACTAAATTATAGTTGCAATAGCAAATATTATCATGATATTAGCAATATCATGTATCTATCTATCTATCTATATATATATATATATATATATATATATATATATATATAATTTTTAGAATTTTATATAAGAGTAATATTACATAAGTTTTCATAAATATAACAAAAGTTTAATAATTAAGGCAATTTATTGCCACAAAAATGACTACTAAGGCTCTATCAATGTATATCTAAGACTATCTTATTTGAATGAGAAGTAGCCAATTTAACACATTACATGCTTGTAAATTATTCTAAAATCTATACATTATTATTTCTATTAAGTATTGTTTATAAATTATGCAATAATTTTAAGCATTTTTTTCTATTTCTTAAAGCCATATTAGTTTATTTTCTTCTTTTGGTTTGTACTTAAATTATATGTCTATTTAATCTAATTTAAAAGTTAGTTATAATGTTTTGAATTATCTTAGCTAATTATATGGAAATTTTATTATTTTTATATGCTTTACTTTAAATCTAATTTTAATTTCTAAAAGAATAAGTTTTTGCTGAGTTTAAAAAATTAAAAATCTTTTTTTTTTTTTTTTTTTTTTTTTTTTGGTAACATTGTTTAGTGTGTTAATGCAATAACTACAATAAAAAGGGGTTGTGTAATATTAAGATTTGTGATTTTATAAGATATAGGATCAAAGAGATTTATTACATTTATTTTTATGAAAAATTATTATTTACATAGGTTAAATATGTCATAATTATTTGTATGTCATGTTGATTAAATTAAAAAGCTTAGTAAGACTATATTTCTAAATCTATTGTTAGCTAAATAAGTTCCCATTGAGGTTATTGGTTTTATATGTGATAAAATCATTTAGATGATTATATATATATATATATATATATATATATATATATATATATATTATAATCATAATTAAATTAAAATTTATATTTATTTAATTTTTTTTTTCAAAGGATTTAATTTTTTATATTGTTAGTCTATAGTATTTGTTTTCTTAATTATATTAGACTAATTAATTACTTTAATAATAAGGATGTGAAAATTCCTTATATTGATTATACGATTGGTGATATTTTTTGATATATATATATATATATATATATATATATGTATATATTCTAATTTTCTTGAGTATAAATTCATATTTTAGAATTATACTATGAAATCTTCTTTGTGATTTTTTTTATTTTCAAAATGTACATAAAAGAAGAAGATTATAGTATAATATTTTAAAGATATTTCTTTCAAATTTATTTAATTTTTTATATATGTATGTATGTATATATATATATATATATATATAGGATAATCAATTAGATATTTTAGATGTTGTAAATAAATTACTTAGAAGACTACATCAATTTTTAATGAAGGTCTGCTATAAATATACTCTACAAAAATATTTACAAAATATAAATTAATCAAATTCAACAATAATACTTCATATTATATCCTTGGTGGGTTTTTATATTATGAATACGCCCTAATTATTGACCATTGCTTTTAAATCAAGAGTCTAAATTAAATATATAATAAAATTCCAACAAGTTATATGCTACTCTTGTATTTTTCTTTTCTATTAATATAGAATTAATCCCATATTGACTTGAAGTTTATTAGGCCACACCATTGAGTTTTAATATATCTTTAATACTTTTGGGTTTAATTTTATCTTGATTTCCTATAAATACTAATTTTTTTGTTTATAATTTTAAACTAAAACAACATAAGATTCAAATAATGAAACTTTTGTCTATTTATATACTATTTATTTCATAGTATTTCAATTGCCTACTAATTTTGCCACATGTGAAGAAACAGTGCTTCAGAATGACACTTTCTATACAAAAACACTGATCAATCCAACCTCCAACACAACACACAATCTCTGCTAAAAACTCCATTTGATTCACACTGCTATTCGGTCACTTTGATAGTACACAACACAATCCAAAAAGAAAAAAAAACACAACTATTTACCCACGTTTTCGGTTTAAGACTCTCAACGCTCACAAATAGATCCATGACGTACATGATCTGGGTAAATATAATCATACAAAATAGAATGCAAGCAAATTGCACGTTAAAGAGAGCTTTGACATTCTGCCCAGATACCTGAGAATGCCCAGTGGGCTACAGTGCGGCGTGTACCTACACAGGAGTCATGACCAGGAGCATGCCGCTTTATCGTGGGGAGCAGGAAGAGATGTGGTTTTCTCACACTGAGTCAATCAAAACCACCCCCTCGGCGACTACAAACGCCCCACTCAGCGACGGAATCCGGATTCCTCGATTCCACGGCGTCAGGGGAGGTCCAGATCCAATGCATCGAAACCCTGACCTCCGGAATGTCGCAGTGCTTTTGTCCTGCTCAGTACAAGGCGGTACTTATTCCCTCCTGCACAGACGTACTTGCTGCACCACCCACTGTCGTATATATTACAATACAATTCTTCTAACGACATTGCCGAACTGCTTTTTCTAGTGATGATTCCCTTGAGGAGGACAGAGTTAGTGCAGCACACGAGGATGATGATGCTGATGATGGTTCGAGTCCAGTTCCCCTAGTTTGCTTATCCGTCTACTTCGGTGTCGGTTCGTCGGGGTGGGTCGGTTGTTTTGTCGACCAGTAAGCAGTTCTACTGTATGTTCCAGGTTACTGGATCACTGGGTCTCTTTATCTTTCGATTGCGGCTGGCTTCTGATGATCTTCGCTAGGTGAGGTTCTGGACCTTGGTGTGGTACCTGGAGCAAAGCCTGCACTATATTGCTGGTTCGGTTTCATGATTAGCAGTCTCCTGAATTGTGTCATGAACTGTCTGTTCGAGTTTGACTTTGTTGAGTCAGCTGAGAACTCGGTGAGGTGCTTCACATAGACCAGGTGGTGGGATTGAAGCTTTTAAGCGAGGTCTGGCTTGTTATAAATCCAATGACGTAGCCCTGCATGGTCGTTCTCGTTTCGCTTTAGCCTGAATTGGAACCGTTGGGGGGTGTGGAGGTGCGGGGATAGTGTGACCATGTCCTGACAACCTTGTTTGTCACGGTGTTCGATGTGTGTCTAATCCGCTTCGATAATTGTTGGAAAATGTGAATGACCAGGGTCGAGAACTGAGGCGTGAGAGCGACAAGATGGTGCAGCTGGGATGGGAGTCGTACTTGGTGCTCGCGACCCTGATAGCGGGGCTCGTGGTTATGGCGGGTGATTGGGTAGGCCCTGACTTCGTCTTCGCCCTGATGGTGGGCTTCCTCACAGCGTGTCGTGTAATAACAGTGAAGGAATCCACCGAAGGATTTTCTCAAAACGGTGTGTTAACGGTGGTCATCCTTTTCGTAGTTGCCGAGGGAATTGGCCAGACTGGTGGCATGGAGAAAGCTCTCAATTTATTGCTTGGGAAGGCAACGAGTCCATTCTGGGCCATCACTAGGATGTTCATCCCAGTGGCGATTACTTCCGCCTTCTTAAACAACACTCCCATTGTGGCTCTGCTTATCCCAATCATGATCGCGTGGGGTCGCCGCAATCGCATCTCCCCGAAGAAGCTCCTCATTCCACTCAGCTATGCGGCTGTGTTCGGCGGCACCCTCACCCAGATCGGCACTTCCACTAACTTCGTAATCTCCAGTCTTCAGGAGAAGCGATACACTCAGTTGAAACGTCCTGGTGATGCGAAATTCGGCATGTTCGACATTACTCCCTATGGAATCGTGTATTGCATCGGCGGATTCCTGTTCACGGTGATAGCGTCTCACTGGTTACTCCCTTCGGATGAAACCAAACGCCACTCAGATTTGTTGCTGGTGGCAAGAGTGCCTCCGGAGTCCCCCGTGGCTAACAACACTGTACGCGAAGCGGGGCTCAAAGGCATGGAACGCCTCTTCCTGGTGGCTGTTGAGCGGCAGGTAAATCTCAATTTTACGGCGTTGCAGTTTATACGTCAGTCCCTGGTAAACTTCATCAATTGAGATTTTGAACAGAGGTTGTCGACATCTAACATATGCCCGAGTTCTCTGGTTGATGACAGGGGCGAGTGACACATGCGGTTGGTCCTCAGTATTTACTAGAACCTGAAGATCTTCTCTACTTCTGCGGAGAATTGGAGCAAGCCCACTTTTACTCGAAGGCCTTTTCATTAGAGTTGCTGACGAACGAAGCCATCAGCGGCTCAAAGCGTGCTAACTTTCAAGGCGAAAAGCACCCGTCTGCCTTGGAAAACGGATCGTGTGGAAGTGTCGAGGACTCGACGCTGATTATGCAGGTACAATTGCCTTTTCTATTTCACCAAGTTCCATTGCAGCGTTCGCTAACTGCTTTTGGGGTTTAATCCAAATGTGACGTGGTGACGACGAAGCTTGTTATACACTAATTCTGCTGAGTTCTACGGTTGACATGGTCAGGCGTCGGTGAGGAAGGGAGCGGACATCATAGGCAAAACCTTGGATCAGATTGACTTTCGCAAACGCTTCGATGTGGCTGTGTTGGGATTGAAGCGAGGCGAAACGCACCAGCCCGGTCCCTTAAGTGAGATGGTAGTGAACGCTAATGATGTACTCGTGCTGCTAGGAGACAACGAAGAGGTGCTACAGAAGCCAGAGGTCAAGGCGGTGTTCAAGGATGTAGAGAAGCTCGATGAGGCGCTGGAAAAAGAGTACTTAACAGGTTCAAACTTTAACTTGATCCTTCAGACTAAGCTGATACTACTTTTCTGGACCACAATTCTCTTCTGTAAGATTATTCTTTCACATCTTCTGGGGGCAGGATCCTTATTGACATTGTGGATCTGAAATGCTCAGGTATGAAAGTGACGAACAGATTTAAAGGAGTGGGCAAGACTGTTTACGACGCGGGACTTCGAGGCATCAATGGGCTTACCCTTCTGGCAATTGATCGTCAGTCCGGAGAGCACTTGAAATTCATTGAGGACGACACCGTTGTCGAACTTGGAGATACTCTGTGGTTCGCTGGTGGCGTTCAAGGAGTTCATTTTCTGCTCAAAATTTCCGGCCTAGAGCACAGTCAAGCGCCGCAAGTGTCCAAGCTTCGGGCCGATATATTGTACCGGCAGCTTGTCAAGGTAATTTTATCTGAAATTCAAAGTGGTTCAGTTAGAGAGTAGCTCTCAAACATTGTTTTACAGAGTGACAAGTAATGAGCTCTAACATTCTACGAGAACGCGCTGACCGCAGGCATCAGTTGCCTCCGAAAGTCCGTTGGTCGGCAATACCGTTCGTGAGGCTCATTTCCGAAACAAATACGACGCTGTGGTGCTTGCAATTCACCGCCAGGGCGAGAGACTGTCGATGGATGTCCGCGATGTGAAGCTACGAGCAGGGGATGTGCTCTTACTCGACACGGGATCCAATTTCGGGCATCGCTACCGGAACGACGCAGCCTTCAGTCTGATTTCCGGCGTGCCCGAATCATCGCCTGTCAAGAAGTCGCGGATGTGGGTGGCATTGTTTCTGGGAGCAGCCATGATCGCTACTCAGATCGTGAGCAGTTCAATTGGGGGTACTGAGTTAATCAACCTGTTCACGGCAGGAATTTTAACATCTGGCCTTATGTTGTTGACGAGATGTCTAAGCGCCGACCAAGCGCGCAACAGCATCGACTGGAGGGTTTATACTACAATAGCTTTCGCAATCGCTTTCAGTACATGCATGGAGAAATCCAAACTTGCCCGAGCTATTGCCGATATATTCATTAAGATCAGCGAATCAATCGGCGGGATGAGAGCTTCTTACGTTGCCATCTACATCGCAACGGCGCTGTTGTCGGAGCTAGTGAGCAACAATGCTGCGGCGGCGATCATGTACCCCATCGCTGCGGACCTAGGAGACGCCTTGGGCGTCGTTCCCACGCGAATGAGTGTGGTTGTGATGCTTGGCGCCAGTGCAGGATTCACCCTGCCCTACAGCTACCAAACCAACCTGATGGTTTATGCTGCGGGAGACTACCGGTTCATGGAGTTCGCAAAGTTCGGATTACCCTGCCAATGCTTCATGATCATTACAGTTATCCTCATCTTCCTGCTGGACAACAGAATCTGGGTAGCGGTGGGGCTCGGTTTCGCGCTGATGCTGGTTGTGTTAGGGTGGCATCTGGTGTGGGAATTTGTGCCTGCTTCGATAAGGAGCAAATTCTCGCCTGGGCGCAAAGAAAAGACTGAAAAGATTGAACAATGAAGAGGATCGATCACCGAACTGGCTGATTCCACATCCCCAGCATAACAGATTTATCACTGTTGATTCGTCAGTTGAGGGATGCTGGAAGTTTACAGCTGTATCAATAAGGTAATAGGTACAAGTCAGGTGGTGAATTTTACACAGTGAAGTTGTGTTTGTGTTTTCATAGAAAATCTTACAGGACGAGGCGAACTTGGAAATTCCCGAGAAAGGCCATGATCACAAAAAAAAATTGCTAGAAGAGAAATGCCTTTGTAGACAGCAATTGTGTACTGAATGCTTGTGGAGCAAACTGTACGTAAACCTTCAATACGTTGAAGGAGAAATTGTAGCAATAAAATCGTGATCGTTACCACGTATATCTGTTCTATGATTGGATGGACTGAGAAAGATTTGGCTTAACTAAAACCAGTAAAAGTTTAGGGAACCTCGGAGTTTGTGCGGCAATTGGGAGATCAACAGAAGTTTGGTGTGATTGTCGAAAGATTTCTCAGACTCGGTTATGAATTTGACAAATATTAATTAAAACCAATTAGTTTAATTATTCTTTACTACAATATGTGTCAACATGTATATTTACAAATCACTTTTCCCCCTCTTCTTTCCAGTATACCAAATTTGATATATTAAAAGCTTTATTTGGTAAGCTTTGCACTCAATTTGCAATAAATGTCCCATTTGAAACTAGGTTTTATTGTAGACTACTCTATCTTTAACTTAACCCTTTCGGCATGGCCCAAATGAAAATGCTCTTAAAACTCATGTCACAAAAGAAAAAGTCTTACTGTGTATCAGTGTATGGATAAAGAATCGCAAGATAAGAAATGGACTTTTTCTTACAGGATGGGTGAAGTGCTTCTTTAAACACTCACTCTTACTCTCATCCCCCTCAAGCTGGCTTTTTCCAAAAGCCTTGAGGTAGTGGTGCAGTGATTGCAATCATTAGATATGGATTTGCAGTAGATAATGGAGAAAGAGACATCCATATCTAATGATTGCTTGTTGCTTGTGATCCATGAAGTCAAACATATTGTCACAATATCATCTAAATTGCTCCTCTATACTACATTTGCTATTTGATCTCTTTCATTTTTTGACATAATTTTATTTTTGTTTCACAATTTAGTTGACAAGTTTGTTTTATCAAGAACTTTTTGAGAAAAACTTATATTTTAAGATGTCACTTTCTTTGATATTGGGTATTATTTTTAGTACTAGTAAAGAATTAAAGGAAGCAATATCTAATGATACAATTAGTAAGCATTATGAAACATCAATTATCAAATCCGACCTAACAAGGTACATTGTAAAATGTCGCAATGATAATTACAAATAGAAACTCCATACATCACAATCTCAATAGATACGTACAAGTGATTTTATCATTCAAACATTTGTCTCTGAACATACATACATTGGCACTAAATATTTGGACAACCACCATGCTAGTATAAGTTGGATAATGGATAACATGAAAAATAAGTTGAAAGATGCACCACAATATAGAGCTACAGATATCCAAAAAGATATTTGATATAATGAGGGCATTATGATATCCTACTTCATGGCATGGCATAGAAGAGAAAAGGCTATTTCTAAGCTAATTGACTCCTATGAAGACAACTACAATAATCTGGAAGGATATTGTCATCATTTAAAAATAAAAAAATCCTATGAATTATACAAAATTGGAAGTTGATGAAAAAAATTACTTTCTTTGATTGTTTGTTGCCTTTAATGTAAGTTTACATGGTTAACTTGTCATTGGCTTTATTATCATGGCTAACTTGTCATTCACCTATAATACAAGTTGACAAGTTCACATGGTTAATTTGTCATTGTCCTTATTATCATGGCTAACTTGTCATTTACCTATAATACAAGTTGATAAGTTCACATTGTTAACTTATCATTGGCGTTGACAATATCCATTTGAAAAGAAAATATTGTGGAGTATTTCTTGCTACTACAACAATCAGTATAGAGGGGCAACTATTCTGTATTGCATTTAGTATTGTCAATGTTAAAAATGATGGCAATTAGTTGTAGTTCTTATAAAAACTAAAGATAGTAATTTAGTGTATTTCATGCACTGAATTACAAACTTTCAAAGTTTATATTTTTGTTTGATTGACAAAAAGGTCTTATTGATATTGTCAACTATACATTTCCAACATGCAAACATGTATTTTATATACACCATTTAATTAAAAACTTACAACAATAATTTAAAAATCCATTGCTTATACAACATCTTAGGTAGTAGCACGAGCACTGATTGTTCTTAATTTTAATATTGAATTGTCAAAAGTTTTGGTTGTATTTGAAGAAGATAGAAAATACTTAATGTGCACTAGACCACAATATTGGATATTGTCATAGTTTGACAAAATTTGATTTGATTACATGACTCCAAATATTTTAAAATCTCTAAATTCTTAGATTTTAGAAGCACATGAAATATCTTTAATTCTAATGTCAGAAATAATTTGTCAACAAATTATGGTATAATACAATGAGTAACATATTATTACAAATATAATTAAAAGACCATTATCAACTTGTATATAACAGCAAATTAAATGGTCAATGACATTTACACATGGCTATTACATCATTCTTGCATCAAATACTATTTTTGAATGTATGTTGGAGCAATTCTCTAATGTCTTGAATTTTTAAAACAACACATATACTTGTAATTAGTGGCAACTATTTGGAATCCCATACATACATATAATTAATATTGTGTTATTCATGCAACAATCAATTGCAGAGTACACTACTTACTTTTATACTATTCAAGCCTAGTGATCAATTTATGCAATAGCTATAACTTCCATACAATCAATCAAGTATTAGATAAAACCAAGTAACAACAAAATTGATGTAAGTTTAATCCCACCATCCTACACACAATATTCACTTGGCCATCCAAAGAAATGTTATATTTATATAAAGGATATGGAGACAACCAAAAGAATGTTTAGATGTAATCAATATGAGAATATTGGACATAATTTCTTAACTTGTAAAGAACCAATTTAATTGCATTGTTGAAATGTCACTTAATATAATATTTAAAGATGTCATATTTGAGAGAGATAATCATTATAAGGCTTACTTGTAACCTTATAAAACCCAACTTGGAAGCTTCATGGTTTTGAATCTAAATTTTATTAATCTCATTTCTTCTCTACATAGATTTGTATATAGTAAAATTTGCCCAAATTATCTAGTATACCTAACCTTATATGTCTCATTTATTAATTTTATCTAAAAATAGAAAAAAGATAAGTTCTTTATATTATTATTTTAAATAATAAGGCCTAGGTTTTTAAGAACATGTGCTAAAATTTTGACCATAATTTTAATCCTCTTTAAAATCTATACAATTGTAATTCAAGAAAGCTTGATATCATTGTAAAAATACTAAACTTCATTTTTCTATTATTATTATTATCATCATCAGTATTATGTATTAATACTTATATTTTAGTTATTTATTGAAATACCACTTTTTTTTTCTTTCAAACATATTTCATAAGGTATAATTTTTTTTGAAAATCTAATATGACATATGATTTTGAATTCATATGATATACAATAATACAATATATAAATTTAAAAATCTAATCTGATATATGAATATAATATTTATGATATAATATCATAGATATTTGAATTCAAAATTTATATATCAAATTGGTAGAATTGCAATAGTTTTTTAGGAAAATATAAATGAATAAAAGATACAATGGTATCTTATTAATAAATCTTTAATAATAATATTTTATTTTATTAAAAGCTGTTAGGGACATAGTCCTTAGAATCTTCTAGAGATAAGTTTCTAGAACCTTCTAGAGATAAGTTTCTAGAACCTTCTAGAAGCTTCTTAGTTGATGAAAGTTGCTTGAGAAGCTTCCTAAGTAGGAGTATATATTGGAATCTAGGTTGAAGAGTTCTTCAGTCTCGACAACACATCTCTTGGAGCTCTAGCTCACCTCTCTGGTGTTGTTCTTGTATTCATCTGATTAATCTAGTTCTTGTTAGTTCTTCTTGAACTTCTTGTTAGATCTCGAGCCTGTATTTCTGTGTCCATGACAATTTATCGAGATTGTACTCACCTCAGATATCAGAGCTAGTTTCTTCCTTGTTAGAGTGTGGATTACCTCTCTGCTTGAAGGTGTACTAGCATTTTAAAGGTTGTGGATTACCCTCCTCTAAATTGATACTTCTTTTGTTACAATATTGGAGTCTTATTCTTCTTGGAGAGAGTGGATTACTCCTTTTCTTGAAGCTCTTAAGGTATTTTAGAGGTTGTGGAGTACCCTCCTATAAACCAATATTCTCTTCTTGTAGAGTCATTTCTGTCCTTCTCTTAGAATGGCTAGAGGTCAAGACATTAGTATGACGAAAAGTTTGGAGTCCAAGTTGGATGCTATCATGAATGCCCTCCCTACGTTATCGCAAAGAACTGTAGAGATTGAAGGAGTCGTAGCAAGGCTTCATAATGATGGAGCATCTAGGATGGCACAATCTAGGTTGCACCAACCTCAAACTTCTGCACTTGGAGAAGCAACTTTACCTGAGGTTCGACAAGCACCGTTGGTTCTACAACACAAGGAGCCCCGAATTAGCCTTTTGGACAAGTTTGATGGTATGTGTTCCAAGTTTTGAGGATTTGTCAATCAAATCAGGTTGATAATAGTTTTACAGTCCGAACGCTATCCAACGGAGGAGTCATGTGTTGGGCTTGTTGGATCCTTACTTACAAGACAAGCTCTATCATGGTTTGCTCCTTTGTTTGAGAAATGACCGTCCATACTAAACAACTTTGAAATCTTTTTGGAGGCATTAACGGAAGCATTTGGTGAACACGACAAGGTTCGATAGGCTACAACAAAGATCCGGTCATTAAGACAAGGGATGCGCTCTACATCAGTCTATGCATTGAATTTCAGGCAATTAGCATGCGACATCAATTGGGACAAAAAAGCATGGATGAGTCAATTCTATTGGGGTTTAAGAGATGATGTGAAAGATTTGCTGTTAATTCTTCCTGATCCGCGAATGCTCAATGAAGCTATTAGCCAAGCTGTGAAGTGCAATAACTGCCTATTCCAATGTCGCCAAGACCAATGCTCAAGACAACATACGGTTTGCCACGCCCCAACTATATCGACAAGTAGCATGAATTCACATTCAGAGGTAGAAGACATGTAAATTGATGCGGTACATGTCAAATTCCTTACTCTAGAAGAAAAAAAGTGGAGTATGGAGGAAGGTCTATGCTTGTATTGTAGTGAAGAAGGCCACAAAGTTGGAAATTGCCCCAAGAAGCAAAATCGATGGATTG